ATCTAGCTAAAATATTGCTGAGTGCGGCGTTAAACAACATACAAACAATTGCTCTGCAGTAATTTGTTTTAATTTGTAAGTATAATTTTAAACAGGCTTAGTAAACTTAGACTCAGTATTATTTGTTACACTGCTACACTGAGTCTAACAAAACCTAGTAAAAGGTCGCGTCAGCTAACCTTTTGGACTGACAAATCAGAACACAGCTTACCAAATCACGAAAGTTAACATTCGCACATACCGTTTGAACCTCAAAAACTCGAACGATTCCGAATGCTATTTTCCGACGATCGCTTCAGAGTGATACAAACAGTGAGTAAACAGTCGCAGATAACAGCGTTTTTGTCAATATTCAAGGATGTCATCTTGCGAAAATATGAGCAAATAGTAACCATGTCATTAGAAACCCATAAGCGTATATACAGCAGTTAAAAATATATCTGTGCTTTATGCGGATTTTCGTTTGTTGATAGATCAGTGTCAGCGGTGGTATCCGGACAAGTTATTTATTTAAGGAGTAAGAGGATTATGAGGCATGGTTGACTGGGTTTGTTTGTTTAACTAATCCCACACGGCCTTCACTAGTAGAGGGAATGATTTTTGGTTCAGTTATTACATGGCTGTTCTCCCTTCATCTCCATGTTCTCCATACATCTCCATGTTCTCCATACATCTCCATGTTCCCCATACATCTCCATGTATCTAGAACAGCAATAAATAACAATGTTGTTTTACTGTAAGGTATATAAGGTGCCATGTTATGACAAGTGTTCACTTTATCCCATGATGGCAAATGCTTTGGTGAACGTTCAGTTTGTTCCAAATGGTCGAGGTGGTAGACATTTAGTGTATCAGGGATATAAGTTTCGAATTATGACTAGCAAGCGTGATACAACACATTGGAGATGTTGGTATCCTTCTTGTTGAGCAACGATTAACACCAGGGACGACTTGGTCACAAGCTACAGAGACCATTTCCTTGTCGTCCTCAAGGATACAGTGAGAACAGACCATAGGCCATTTACACAAGTGACACAAGTGGACTATCATTTGTATTTTTGTGTTCGCATACCTAAATTGATAAATTACTAATCACAATCATACGCAACACATAACATACGTAACTGTACACAATGTTTAGCATTATGTAACTGCGTAAATATAAGAAATTGATAAGGTACTAATCACAATCATACATCATCAATGTCCACAATGATGGTTCATACACAATTGACTTTAAAGCCCAACAAGATGAGAAACAGCATCTCCATATTCTAACATGGTCTTAGTTCCTGCTTGAAGATGGTCTTTTTCTGTCTGTAGTCTATCGTTAAGTTCTCTGTATTTTCGTTTTCTGGGTCATTTATGTATGCTGAACATAAAAATACAAATGATAGCCCTCTTTCTTGGCTTGGTCATCTCCTCAGTCATCCCCATCATTGTCTTGCTAATTAACATGGTCTGGTGATCCTCTTAATCCCTAAATAAACAACTTGCCCGACTGGCAAAAGAGGAACACCCCGTGTCAGCGACCAGGGAAGAGAAAGTACCAAAAGCGTTTTGTAAGTCCCGCCGAACCCTAACAAGTAGTCGTTGTCTGATTGGTTAAGTCCGTTCGGCCGTCTCGCGTTTGATTGAACGGTCATAGGTCGCCCAAACGTGACCTTCTACTAGACTCAGTAGGGTGTTTTAAGTGTGAAATGGAGACTACAAAATAAGACGAAATGTTGTCATTGATACGTCTAGTTTGGAAATTTCCTGCACATGTATTGAAAATTATTTTGAAAGCTACAATGAGTGTTTGAATGTTGACTCTAAAACATTAAATTTGCAGTATGATAGCTGACGCTAAGATATATGTACTGTATACATTGGATTTGTTTGTCAGGCATTACGCCTGAAATATTTGCTACAAATAATGCATACACATGTATTATCGTCAACAATTTTCACATTTAAATTACCCAAATTTAAACCCTAAGGCAAGTTAAGAACCCGGTTAATGGACGCGCCCTCTATTTCCATTCCTGGGCTTCCTCTGCAGTTCATACTGCCAGTGAGGCGCGATAACGTTCACAGTCACATCGCCCTCCTTACTGGTATCCATTCATTACTGACTGCACTAATGTACATCCGACCATCTTGTCCTTACTGGTACCTATTCATTACTGAATGCACTAATGTACATCCGACCATCTTGTCCTTACTGGTACCCATTCATTACTGAATGCACTAATGTACATCCGACCATCTTGTCCTTACTGGTACCCATTCATTACTGAATGCACTAATGTACATCCGACCATCTTGTCCTTACTGGTACCCATTTCAGAGGAACGTTCGGCCAGGTAACGAACACAGACAATTGAAGTAAATTCGCGGGAATATGTAGTTCTCTGAACGAGAGTTGGCTGTTTACTGGCCTATTTGTATGCAACCATATTCGGATCAGCTGTTATAGTCCAGAGTAGAAACACTGTCATCCGTTATTCATGTCGGACAACCTTATGCTTTAGTAGTATTTCCTGTACAACTGAATGTCGTTGTTTTATCACACATGGAAGACACTGCAGTACTATTTCCTGTACAACTGAAATGTCGTTGTTTTATCACACAGGGAGGACACTGCAGTAGTATTATAGACACGTGTGTAAACAGCATGAATGTTGGTGACTGGCAATCCTATTTGGATTTATTTTATTTATTTTTATTATTATTATTATTATTATTATTTTATTTTTTATTCAGATCCCTCGGTTAGTGAAGGGTATTGAACGGCGTATTTGTATGAAAGCATATGCAGCCTTAGACTAACGTTTAGTCCCTGAATACATATAACTTTGATAGTAGCAAATAAACCCATTTAAATTGAAAAGGAGCCCCAGGGAGACCAGAGATTCAGGCTGAACCTGAGGAAATCTTGACTTGCTTCATTTAGGGCTTCAGCATTGCAGGGAGGGCTAAGCATTGGGGAAAATAATGTGGTTCAGGGACTGTGAGACAGACTAATGCAGCCTCTGCTCTCAAAGATAAACTCTTGTCGTCTGTAGTCACACCACCAAAACAGCATTGTCTATATTTCGGGCTATTGTATGCTTCAGTGGTATTTCGTGATCAACAGAATGTTATTTTCGTGACACACTTATCTTGCACCTGACTTGATGAGTGTTCTCTGGATAGTGCAAAAAGTGTGTACACGTTGAGGCGCTGTTCACCGGTGATATCTCACACGATGACCTGATTTCCGTGACATGTACAGTTATAGTTTTGCACTGACTCCTAAATCGGGGGCAGGTGAGTTAATATGAACTTGGTTGTTGGGCGAAGCTTCAGGTGGAGAATCTGCAAGTCATCCAGCGAGACCGCCAGCCTGATTACGACATGTGTAAAGTAGACACAGGGGGACTTTGGCCATGGAATGAGTGAGTGAGTAAGTGAGTGAGTGAGTTTGAGTGAGTGAGTGAGTGAGTGAGTGAGTGGGTTTGAGTCAGTGGTATACTGAAATACACTTTTCAAACAAGAGGTTTTGAAACAAGTTTTCAGTATGTACAGGGTATATTGAGAAACCAGCAGAGGTTTTGTTATCATTTGTATAGCTTAATCCAAATCAAAAGAGAAATATATTTGACTGACCATTCTGACCTTGACCTCCCAGCATATCGCAATACAGTTCACAATACAGGCATTCCATAACAGCCTCTTTCACACTTAACAGTGAGTGAGTGGGTTTGAGTGAGTGAGTGAGTGAGTGAGTGAGCCGGTGGATGGATGTGTGGGTCAGGGAGTGAGAGGGTGAAGCAATGAGTGAGTGAGTGAGTGAGCCGGTGGATGGATGTGTGGGTCAGTGAGTGAGTGGGTGAGGCAATGAGTGAGTGAGTGATGTGAGCAGGTGGATGGATGGGTGGGTGAGTGAGTGAGGTTTGATTGTTTTGTATTTGTGTATTTACATCACAGGAGGGAAGGCCAGAGTGCTGCAGGTGTATAATAAAGCCTCTATTACAAACCTCACACTCACTTTATGATGTTCACAACCAGGGAGATTCCTGAAGCATTGAAATACGACATTTTACCCCCCCCACCCCCCTTTTTGTGTTGCTAAATAATGAAACTACAAACATTCAAAGGAGAAGTTGTTGCTAAGTTGACACCAGAGGTCAGTGTGTAGATCTCCCATTAAGTGCTTTATCTGCATCAAAAAGGTAATATCGACCGCCTCCATGGTGTAGTGATTAGAGCGTCCGCCCGGAGAGCGGAAGGTCGCGGGTTCGATCCCGACCGCGTCATACCAAAAGACGTTAAAATATGGTACTTGTTGGTCCCTGCCTGGCGCTCGGCATTAATGGGTACAACAAGGACTGGTCGGCTCGGAGTCAGTATAATGTGTCTGAGTGGGGTATTCATGCTTCACTGCGGCATGGTATCTCAGTGGGCTAGCACTATAAAACCAGCTTCAGTCTGGGCTAGTACAAGCAGCCGCACATACACATACACACGCATGCACGTCGTCATATGAGCGAAATATGCTCAAGTACGACGTTAAACACAAGTTCACCTCACCTCACCTCAAAGGTAACATCATACACGTCTTGACGTTGACTGTCCACCAACCCTTAAGGGGATCACCAGGAAAGATGGACGAATGTTAGAAAGCATCACTGACAATCTGACAATAGAGGAAATCTCTATTTTGAAATGTGTTTCTCAGATTTTCAGAATATCGTGCATTGTCACGTCATGTGGATGTCTATTGGTTCTTTGACTTCAACTTCCTTTTGGCAGCTGGTTATGAACGAGGTAAGAATGGTAGTAGGCATCACCATGCTGGCAGTCGTCACAATGTGTTCCTTGGGTTCCTTGGGTTCCTTGGGTACCTTGGGTTCCTTGGGTACCTTGGGTTCCTTGGGTTCCTTGGGTACTTTGGGTTCCTTGGGTTCCTTGGGTTCCTTGGGTTCCTTGGGTTCCTTGGGTTCCTTGGGTACCTTGGGTTCCTTGGGTTCCTTGGGTTCCTTGGGTATCTTGGGTTCCTTGGGTTCCTTAGGTTCCTTGGGTTCCTTGGGTTCCTTGGGTTCCTTTGGGTTCCTTGGGTATCTTGGGTTCCTTGGGTTCCTTGGGTACCTTGGGTTCCTTGGGTTCCTTGGGTTCCTTGGGTTCTTGGGTTCCTTGGGTTCCTTGGGTTCCTTGGGTTCCTTGGGTACTTTGGGTTCCTTGGGTTCCTTGGGTTCCTTGGGTTCCTTGGGTACTTTGGGTTCCTTAGGTACCTTAGGTTCCTTAGGTTCCTTGGGTTCCTTTGGGTATCTTAGGTTCCTTAGGTATTTGGGTTCCGTGGGTTCTTGGGTTCCTTATTGGTTCCTTGGGTTCCTTGGGTTCCTTGGGTTCCTTGGGGTACTGGGTTCCTTGGGTATCTTAGGGGTTCCTTGGGTTCCTTGGGTTCCTTAGGTTCCTTGGGGTTCCTTGGGTTCTTGGGTTCCTTAGGTTGCTTTTGGGTTCCTTGGGTACCTTGGGTTCCTTTGGTATCTTGGGTTCCTTGGGTTCCTTGGGTTCCTTAGGTTCCTTGGGTTCCTTGGGTTCTTGGGTTCCTTGGGTTCCTTGGGTTCCTTAGGTTCCTTTGGTTCCTTAGGTACTTTGGGTTCCTTAGGTTCCTTGGGTTCCTTGGGTTCCTTGGGTTCCTATCTGGGTTCCTTGGGTACTTTGGGTTCCTTAGATTCCCTTAGGTTCCTTGGGTTCCTTGGGTTCCTTGGGTTCTTTGGGTTCCTTGGGTTCCTTTGGGTTCCTTGGGTACTTTGGGTTCCTTGGGTTCCTTGGGTTCTTGGGTACCTTGGGTTCCTTAGGTTCCTTAGGTTCCTTGGGTTCCTTAGGTTCCTTTGGGTTCCTTGGGTACCTTTGGGTTCCTTGGGTATCTTTTCCTTGGGTTCCTTGGGTTCCTTGGGTACCTTGGGTTCCTTGGGTACTTTGGGTTCCTTGGGTTCCTTGGGTTCCTTGGGTTCCTTGGGTTCCTTGGGTTCCTTGGGTTCCTTGGGTTCCTTGGGTTCCTTAGATTCCTTGGGTTCCTTGGGTTCCTTGGATTCCTTGGGTTCCTTGGGTTCCTTAGATTCCTTAGATTCCTTGGGTTCCTTGGGTTCCTTGGGTTCCTTGGATTCCTTGGGTTCCTTGGGTTCCTGTTCAGTATATATTGTGAATTGCAACGTTATGTGTGTGTTTGTTAGGTTCTTGGCCTTGCAGGACACAGCATGCTTAAATAGATTAAATACTGAACAACAGAACATAAGCCAAATATTTATTCAATGACGTCATTGACAGATCTACATGGCAGCAAGCCATATAACTAATAAACATCAAAACAACATTAAACCTGAATTTTAATGATGTATTTATATTTTATACTCAGGTCCGATTATTAAGATGTTGTCATCCTTTGGTGCAGTAGTCCTGCCCTTCCGGTGGGTCTGAAACACAACAATATGGTTCATAACTTCCCTGGCTGTTCCAGCAACACTACAGCAAGACAGACACGAGTGGGCGTGTTCTTAACTGGTTGGCAAACAAAACGTGATGTGGGTTCCAGACATTCACAGCTTTATGAAATCAGGGAGCTGGATACGCGTAAGAAAAGCAAATAATTAAATCTGGGAGAACTCCTGAACGCAATTGGCAATATTTGAAGTCTTCCTCGTTACACATGTTCTATGGTTGTTTTCCATATACATTACGTCACTGTATAGCACCTGATACGCTGGGTATTCTTTGTGTCTGTAATTGCCTTTGGTTAAAACCACAGCCATTATTGATGTGGGGTAATACGAATTTTCCATGATTGTGTTTTGGATCGGTTTTGGTACAGTCTATCTGAGGTTGAAATCCATCATAGATTTATAATATTTTCTGAGCGACATTCGCATTAAGAAGTCATTGTCAAACCATGACCAAGGAGGAGGCACATATTTTACTGGCGTTTGGAAAATCGTATGGAAGCCAAGAGAGTTGACTTGGAATGGAAAGACAAAACTATGCTTCCTTTGACATATCGATCTGTTTTTGAGTGTTTTAGACACAGCTACATTCAAATATGTGTAATTGCAACAAGCGACATCCTATCATAACAACACATTACCTTTAGAAATCATGGGTAGAATCCTGTTGATGAAGACACATTCGTGGTGGACTACCCCGTGTCCCGCTGATAAGTTGCTGCCCACGTCAAGAGCCATGTAGGAGAGATCAGTGTTGTCAGAGGTTGGCCAGTTCACCTTGACGGGGACAGGAGTGTTAGGGTTGCTGTATAAAGATATGAAAGCTTCAAGAAAACAATACAAATCGATCTGTTTGGAAATGGGAATCAATTTTTATCTGAGGTGAAATTGTTTGAACATGTAAATGAACAATATAAGACCGAGTGAGGGATCTCTCACTCACTCGCTCATCTGTTCCGAGACTATTAACCTGCGTAATTCCATGACTCGATTTTTCTCTTACTCTGTCCAACTCACACTATCACTCGCCACTCACTCACACTCTCAATTGCACTCTATTACTCACCCTGACTTGGCAAAGTTGGTCCAATAGGTCATGATGGTCCTGCTGAGTTCCATCTCCTCCTCTGTACATCCCAGAGACTTTTCCAGGACCAAACCAAACACAAACTCAACATCATACCAATGGGTTGCTCCTATCCACTTTGGATACGGACTAACTGATAGTCGGTGATTAAAACTGTACACGTAGGTAGGGTTGGCAGGAGAGTACAATCTGTCAAACTCAAGATGAGGACACTTGAAATCCCTATCTGACATCATGCGAGTCATGACATCCAAATAGTGAGTGTCCCTAAGACCGGGATGTTTGACTTTCATAAAACAGGCGAAGAGGCTCTTCAAATCCTTTACCACCTATTCTATCATAGGAAAGAAAACTTTCATACTCTGTGCGGCTTAAAATCAATGTTTCCGGTAATGAAGATATGTTTCTCATCTGCTTCAAAGCAACTGCTATAGACAATGTTAACTCGTCTTTAGTAAAACCATGCATTACACTAGCCTGCTTGTTGGAACCGGTGGTCAGAAGAGTTTGGGGGTCATTGGGGAGGAAGTGCCCATCCACAACTGGACCAAATGCAAGTCCTTCATCTAACAAATCACTAAGCTGAAGGTCTGCCATAGTTTGAGCATCTGCTTTCTTTACACAGTCATAGATCTCTGCATCAGTTGAAGATGACGGGCATCCAAGGAGATCAGCAAACTGCTTCAATTTCCGTTTTGCTGTGTGTGGAAAAGTGTAAGCCCATGGGAAATTCGGGGATCCGCTCTGCATGATGGCTCTCTGAAATAAGTCACGTGACAATGGTGACACCAGGTGGTGTCCTACGCTGACACCACCAGCACTTTCTCCAAATATTGTCACCCGAGATGGATCTCCACCAAAGTTGGCAATGTTGTCTTTCACCCACTGTAAGGCAAGTCGTTGATCCATCAAGCCCATGTTTCCAGGGATGGTATCTGGCCCCAGATAGCTGAACCCTAATGGCCCCAGTCTGTAATTCATTGAAACAACGATGATGTCATTCTCTGCTGCAAGATATTTTCCTTCATATAGTGGCATTCGTGAAGATCCAAAATAGAAACCTCCCCCGTAGATCCAGACCATCACTGCCAGATTGCCAGCATTGTCTGATGGCGCCCACACTGTAAGATGAAGGCAGTCTTCACTGGTATCATCCGGGACCTGTCTGTAAACCTCTGGAGATGTGAATACATCTTCAGGTTGAATGCAAGATGGCGTTGGTTTCTGTGCATCTCTAACATCCGGTCCCCATGACTCTGAAGGTTGGGGGTGCTTGAAGCGGAGATCACCTACAGGAGGCTTGGCATATGGGATTCCATAGAATACGTCAAGGGACTTGCCCAACAGTGACAGACGTTGTCCAAGAAGTGGGCCATCTTGAGTTGACACTTTCTGTGTTTTTGCAATATGCAAGCCCGCCACCAGCGTAACAAGCGCAATTTTCATTGCTGATGCCATTCTGAAAGAATATAACTAAACATTTTCATTTACTTTCTTTTGTGATAATAATAAGTACAAGTCAAAAGGTTGTTATATTTTTGTGCTGGCGGGGAAACAATGTTATAATTGCATCAAACTGTTTCCGAAAATATTTTCCAAAGGGCAATGGTGTCTCGCATTCTGTGCACATCATCGTTTCACCCTGGCTAATCAGGAAGCGTGTATTTTGTAAACTTGTCCACTGTTGCTGATGAGGTAATGTTATTTATCACTGACTTTACTGCTATGTCTGCCGTGATATATATCCATCGTACTGCCACTCTATTGTGTACATCCATTGCAGTATTTATTTGGAAGCCTAGTTCAACACAATTCCAAACTTAACATATATAACACATTGATATATCTTTGTTTTGTTTTTGGTTGTCTTACCATAAATTCCATCGCGTACAGATTTGTGGGTTAACTTGGAATCAAGACAAAAAATAGACATCATTAATGTCACTGACGTGTCTAGTCTGGACATTTCTTTTATGCGTTTTACGTTTTTTGAAAGCTATCAAGGGCCTCGAATGTCAAAACCTGAGAGAGAACATTTGAGTAAGAATAACAAACTGACGACCATCTCTCTCTCTCTCTCTCTCTATCTCTCTCTCTCTCTCTCTCTCTCACACACACAACACACATCTCTCACTCTCTCACACACACACACACACACACACACACACACACACACACACACACACACACTGAGTACAAGTGCCTGAAATATTTGCGCCTGTTATTTACAGTATTTCTCACATTGTAATGACCCAAATCAAACCCTGATACATGGCTATGGCAATGAATCAATGTGCCCCTGAGGCATTGAATGGTGTAATCTTGACTGTAGTACGTCTGAGCAAGAGTCGCATGTGGAAGAGGTAGGTGGCAGACTTTCCTATTTGTTTGTATTTATATAGAGCCTCAATCCTCAAACGATAAACTGCTTTGGCCAAGAGGAATATCACTGTCAGTCATTAGCTATAATTCGGACAATGGTATACGTCAATGTTAAAACAGAATGTAATATTTCAACACCCACTCACCTTGTACCTGACTCTACAGCTGTACTCTGAACACTGCTGTAGGGTGTACACCTGAACATGCTGCTAAACGGGTGTTATCTGATAAGATCACCTGGTTTGCGTGACATATATTATTACAAAAAGCGTAAGTTTGTGCTTACCTCCAGGATGACATAACAAAATGAGCGCAAATCGCTCGTATTGTTACAGAGTACCTCCAGGAGAGCATACCTCAATGACCATCGTAAATGGCTCGTAGGAGAGCATAACCACCTTACAATGATCAGCACTCTATCCATGTCTTGGATATCAACCGACGGCCATTCTTAACGAACATGGCGCTGCCATGCAGGAAGAATTTGGATGGCTTGAACCAAGTTAACACTGGACGTTTGGTGATGAGTACACCGTCGAATCAGGGATTGCCTTGAGAATAGAGGCTGATTCACGTAATATTAATTATTTTGACTTTTCATGCAAAATGTCCTGATGGACAGCAGGACGCTTTGACCACATCTTACACTGTTTAAGCTACTGATCTTATTAATGATATAAACTATCAATATCTGTGACACCTGTTTATTGAACATACCTTATTTGTATTGAATATTATGCTATGGCCAACTATTGTTGTTCATATTTTGGATTACATCACTTGGAGTTCCCTTTCGGTCCATATGCTAGTTGTAGAAAAGGACCTGAAGCTTTGGCTTCATGGTGTTGAGTGGCAGTGATGTCCATTGTGTAACAATGTTCCAAGGGTATAGCACTGCAGAGCAGAGAGTCAGCGGTTAGACTGACATTGACTGTATATAGACGTGCGCTATATTTAGAGTTCTTGAAGGTAGTACAGAGTACTACCACCCAATGGACCTTTCTGGACCAGGCAATCCAGTGATCAACGGCATGAGCATCAATCTACGCAACTGGCATACGATTCAGTGGACATTACATATCCATTGATATGCTAGAATAGACTTAACATGCAACAGGGAAGAACAGAATGCGGACCTTGTGTTTATTCCATGCCGTTATTGATGGGTATATATGCGTGATTGTGATTGGTGGCTGTTCAGTAGAGAAGGCGTCACAATATCTATAAAGAATGTTGACCATATGTTTTTTCATGCCGTTATTGACAAATAATAATAATGTATTTATATAACGCCTAATATCCATCGTAGTGATGCCCAGCGGCGCTGTGACAATATTGGGGAAGGAAATAGTTCATATAACTTTACAGAAAGGCAGCAGTGAACAGATGGGTCTTAAGCAAAGATTTAAAGTTTCTTTCAATGAAGTGTTCCTGATTTTCTTTGGAAGAGAGTTCCACAGTTCAGGGCTGGCAAAGGAGAAGACTCGGTCAGACAGTTGGTTTGGAGATCTGTGTTGGGTGAGGAGAGAGTCAGAGGAGGATCGGAGAGGAGATGTTTGAGATAGTCGGGAAAGTTATCGTTGTAGAGGCAGTCATGAGTCAGAATGAGGATTTTGAAGGTAATTCTTGCAGAGATGGGGAGCCAGCGTAGAGACTGTAGCACTGGTGTGAATTGTGGTGATTCTTTGCATTATTCTTTATTAGTTTCTGGAGTGATCTAGTGGAGAGGTTGGCATATCGTGACTTACAGTAGTCGAGTATACACGTGACAAGACAGTCCATTAGGAGTTTACAGGTGTCAGTATCGAGGTAGTGGCGGACTTGGCTGATATTGTGGATGTTGTAGTAGCAGGCTCTACTGATGGAGGCGGTGTGTTGACTTGCCAGAAGAGATTACACATGTACCGATTGATTTGTGCCAGTGAATAATGTATGATGTAGTTGGTTTCACAGTAAGGTATGTAGCTGTTCACTAGTCCATTAAGACAGCGTTTATACTAGTTGACCTGTCTGACTAGATACAAATATACCAGATGATCAGTGAGCGTAGGTATTGGGTATGCCAGTTCATATATCCATGAAGAAAAGGCAAACACAGTGAACATGTACCACCCGATTAATCTGTGTCTGTACCGCATGTACCATTGTTGACTTGTCTGAGTAAATGGTTTATGCCAGTTAAATGTATAATATCTCTAAATATATAATGTCTACGGTAGTTGACTTGCTGGATAACACAAGTACCAAGTGACTTGTCCGAGCAGATAGTTTACATACCAGTTGACTTCTCTGAGTATATAATGTCTACGGTAGTTGACTTGCTGGATAACACAAGTACCAAGTGACTTGTCCGAGCAGATAGTTTACATACCAGTTGACTTCTCTGAGTATATAATGTCTACGGTAGTTGACTTGCTGGATAACACAAGTACCAAGTGACTTGTCCGAGCAGACAGTTTACATACCAGTTGACTTCTCTGAGTATATAATGTCTACGGTAGTTGACTTGCTTGATAACACAAGTACCAAGTGACTTGTCCGAGCAGATAGTTTACATACCAGTTGACTTCTCTGAGTATATAATGTCTACGGTAGTTGACTTGCTGGATAACACAAGTACCAAGTGACTTGTCCGAGCAGATAGTTTACATACCAGTTGACTTCTCTGAGTATATAATGTCTACGGTAGTTGAGTTGCTGGATAACACAAGTACCAAGTGACTTGTCCGAGCAGATAGTTTACATACCAGTTGACTTCTCTGAGTATATAATGTCTACGGTAGTTGACTTGCTTGATAACACAAGTACCAAGTGACTTGTCCGAGCAGATAGTTTACATACCAGTTGACTTCTCTGAGTATATAATGTCTACGGTAGTTGACTTGCTGGATAACACATGTACCAAGTGACTTGTCCGAGCAGATAGTTTACATACCAGTTGACTTCTCTGAGTATATAATGTCTACGGTAGTTGACTTGCTGGATAACACAAGTACCAAGTGACTTGTCCGAGCAGATAGTTTACATACCAGTTGACTTCTCTGAGTATATAATGTCTACGGTAGTTGACTTGCTGGATAACACATGTACCAAGTGACTTGTCCGAGCAGATAGTTTACATACCAGTTGACTTCTCTGAGTGTATAATGTCTACGGTAGTTGACTTGCTGGATAACACAAGTACCAAGTGACTTGTCCGAGCAGATAGTTTACATACCAGTTGACTTCTCTGAGTACATAATGTCTACGGTAGTTGACTTGCTGGATAACACATGTACCAAGTGACTTGTCCGAGCAGATAGTTTACATACCAGTTGACTTCTCTGAGTATATAATGTCTACGGTAGTTGACTTGCTGGATAACACAAGTACCAAGTGACTTGTCCGAGCAGATAGTTCACACACCAGTTGACTTCTCTGAGTATATAATGTCTACGGTAGTTGACTTGCTGGATAACACATGTACCAAGTGACTTGTCCGAGCAGACACTTGACTTCCCTGAGTGTATGCGTTAGGCACTATCGGACTTCCTGACATGAAACTGTGAGGAATAACAAACTATAATTAGATTATTGATATATTGATAGGTATATAGGGTGTGGTAAATGTGATGTCATTTGACTTACCAGAGTTGTTAACTATTGTACCAAGTGACTTTCAGAGCAGTTGATTGACATGTTGACTTTTCTGAGTATATAATGTAGGCACGGGTACAAATTGACGTCCTGACGTGGAGCCGTGAGGAATAATAAAATGTACTTGGACTATTTATACCATGGCGTCCTTGGGAGGTATGTTTGGGAGTGGTAGAGGTAGTGGCTGTAGACACGGATGACTTAGCAGTGTAAAAGACGTCACAACATCCATGCAGAGTGGCATTCTATGTCTGTGACTTTGCTTCCTCAGTACAGTTTAAAGAGGCTTCAATAATGATAATGACATACAGTAATATCTTGTCATATGATCGACCATGATGTCACGTGTCTGTCACGTGACTTTTTTTTTAATCCACTTGTTGTCTGCTACATATTCTAGCTATTTCCGGTAACAATGGGGAAATCGG